TTGTTACAGTTCCCATGAGGTAGTCTCTTAAAGGAGACAGCTCCTAATTCCTAAATTAGCTATATACTGTTGGGACAGCACACCCAGTATACAGTAAATAACTACAATAATTCAATATTGGATTTATTATTATAAATTCAATTTTAAACCAATAATATAAATGTGACACTGAAAAAAATGTATTTTGAATGCTGTCCAGAATCCACTAGAGTTGGGTGGCCATTAAATTTAAATAAATAATAATATTTAAAATATTACTATTTCCTAAATTGCAATTTCATTTTCTATAAAGTTACAGAGTATTTCTTATGTGTTCTTCAAGTACTTGTTAATCAGCTGGAAAATATTTTCTTCATTCCTTGCTTTGTGTTAAAGTATTGTAGTACCTTTTTGGACAATTAGCAAATCATTAAAAATATACGATTATTATTTGTTAAACTAAATACTTTATTGTTCAAAAATACTAAAAATAATATAGTCATGCAGAAAATCAATCCATGTTGATTTTCTGCCTAACTATATTCCCAACTATGGTTGTTAAGAGTCAACACTGGCTTGAGGTAGATATTCTCTCAATTGTAAACTTAATACAGTATGTCCTGGCTCTGGAGAAAAGAAAAGTTTATTGTCAGTATAGTAAATGTTCTCATCACTAAAACATGTTAATCTACCATTTTAGTGGTATTTTGAATGGGAAAAGATTTCTCTAATTTGCTGTGATAAAATATTTTGTTTCATGAACTGTTGGAATCCATTGGAATTCAAAGATATATTGATTTTAATTTAACTTAATTTTCCTTACCAAATTTAGATTCTGACGAAGCTCTCCTTTTGTCTGTAATAAACTGGAAGAGATATGTTTGCTTAACTCTTGAATAAAAGATGAAGCAAATGTAAATAATAATAATAATTAAAGAGCAAGTTCATGCATTTTAGTTGCTACATAGTAATACTGTGCACCAAGGAATGTTAACATCACATGACGGCACTAGAGATTTGAGATGGAATGGTTTTAATCCATCAGGGTTAACTGTCTAATTATATGGTATATCTTCTAAGGCTTAAGTGTCTTTAGATAGAGTGGGGAGGGAATGGAGTTTTTATAGCATCCTTTCCTCTGCCATGCCCACCAAGCCATGCCAACAGAACTGGCAGTAAAAAAATTTGAATCCTACCACTGAGGACTCTGTAAAACCGCTTAGAAAGGGCTGTAAAGCACTATGAATGGTATATAAGTGCTAGTGCTAGAATAGTGGGTATTTCTCCTAGGCGCTGCTTGGAGTGTCCAAGCACGGGTTAATTTCAGCTTTTACATTGGACATTTCTATATAAATCATTTTTATAGAAATGTGATGCTTAGTATTTTCTAAGAACCAGTGTGTCTATTTTGTTTAATATGGCTATATAATTGGAAAACCAGAGCCTCCCAACTTCTGTCTTGCTCAGTTTAAAAATAAACATTTTTATTCTGAACCAGTGCAATGGGAAAACATAATTCAAAGAACTGAATCATTTAAATCAAATATTTATTACTGTTCTAGACTAGGAAGGAAGATGGAGTACAATCAATTGAAAAGCTTAGAAGATAATCAGAACTAGATATAAAAGATATAGATATTAAAATGGAAAGTAGACATAAAAACAATAGTTTAAAAGAGTAAAAGAAGGGGTAGGAACATTAGATGCTTATAGGAGAGGATTAAATGTTGGAAGACTACATCTGACAAATTGTAGAGCACTATATTATTGTATTGTATTGTGTTGTATATATTATATTATGTTATATTATATTATATTATTATATTATATTATATTATTATTCACTAGCAATACCTACTGGGGTCCTGGCTAGATCCAATTGATGTTCTGTTTCTGCTATATGCTATTTAGTGAGTATTTTGGCCTGAGCATATCATATGCTGAGGGAAAGACCTAGAGAGAAGCCCAAAGATGAAATCTTAGTTGCCACTGCCTGTTTCCATGTGGATTGAAATCACCCCTCAAAGTTAATAGAGCAAGGGTGGGGGAGGATACTTTGAACCAATTGATGAGTATGGTCATGCTCATTTTAATCTCAACTTTCATGAAGCCTGTCTTTAGTGTCAGGGTAGCATTTTAAGACTACTCTTCAGTTTGGGACTTGAAAGGCTGATCTTGGAAATTTGAATTGTGCAAGTTCTTACGGTATAAAATTGAAGAAGGAGCACAGCTAGCCACCATAAATGTATTATGATATTGTCAAAGAACTAAACATTTTTCCTATCTGTTGCAGAGCAGTCTTCTGGATTTAACTTGGATTTTGAAGTCTCTGGAATTTATGGCTACGTTTTGCTTGATGGTGTCCTCCCCTCACTCAATGAGATCACATGTGCCTTTTGGATGAAATCTTCCGATACTACAAATTATGGGACTCCAATCTCTTATGCAGTGGAAAATGGAAGTGACAATGCATTCTTGATTACAGATTACAATGGGTATGTGAAGTATCTATAGCTTCCAGATCATATGCTTGGGGAAGAGATGCAAACTGTATTTTACTGCTTTATCAATAAAGCTAAGCTAGGGTTAACCTAGAGGTTAAACTCAATTTCATTAAGGGCCTCATCAGGATTGTGTTTGACCTTGGGGGGCCGAGAGGGTGTGGTCGGGATAGGTGTGGCCAGGATGCCAAGGACCGCACACAGCCCTCCCAAGCTCTGTTTTCGGCTGCAATGGCCTCCTGCAGCACTCTGACAGTGAAAACTGAGCTCGGGAGGGTTGCATGACAGCTTCCTGAAGCACTCTTCCAATGAAAACGGAACTCAGGAGGGCCCTCTTAAGCTCCGTTTGTGCTGGCAGAGGCACCGCGGGCCGGTCCTCTGCTGTTTCCAGGGCAGCCCTGTGGGCCAAATTTAAGCACTCCGCAGGCTGAATGCGACCCACAGGCCTTGAATTTGGCACCCCTTCTCTAGAGCTTGTTTTTCCATGTGTTCTGTTACGCAATAGAGCATTACACATTCTATATTCAGCAAGCAAGGAACCTATAGATTTGTGAACTATTCCTCTAGTCCATGCCAACAGAGGGAAATCTACTGTAGCTTACAACTTATACCATCTTGCATGGACCATCCAAATCCTAAGCTGTTTCAAGCAGGTCACTTCCATTTCTCTTCTCTTCTGATATAGGTGGGTACTGTATGTTAATGGGAAGGAAAGCATTACAGATTGCCCTTCTGTGAATGATGGCAATTGGCATCATATTGCTGTGACTTGGGCAAGTGGAGACGGAGCCTGGGGAGTGTACATCGATGGGAAATTGTCTGATGGAGGGAGTGGCTTATCTGTGGGAACAGAAATCCCTGGTATGTCTCCCTTCATTATTTATCTGGCTGTATTTATTTGCCATGTTATTCGGAGTCATTTTGACATATTTGACTAAAGGAATGTAAGATTCTCATCCTATACAACCTGGTAATATTCCAACAAAATTAATGAATCATTTAAAGCTATATTAGTACCAGTTTATTGTCCCAAGCAAATAGTGCCAACCATTATGTACAATAGCAATAATCAGTAGCTTTATTCCTTGCATTTGTGTTCGTGAACCCGTATGAAAAATGTAGTATCTGAAATCAATCCAAACATCTATCATAAAATGCAGAAGGGAGCAGCATTTGCTCTCTGCCTAGACACAAATGGTTATCTCATCTTTTCTATTTCAAACTGCACAGAGGTGGTATTCAGCAGGTTCTGACCAGTTCTGGAGAACCGGTAGTGGAAATTTTGAGTAGTTCTGAGAACCGGTAAATCCCACCTCTGACTGGTCCCGCCCCCATCTATTCTCTGCCTCACGAATCCCAGCTGATCGGGAGGAAATGGAGATTTTGCAGTAACTGTCCCTGGAGTGGGGTGAGAATGGAGATTTTACAGTATCCTTCCCCTGCCACGCCCACCAAGCCACATCTATAGAATCAGTAGTAAAAAAAAATTGAATCCCACCACTGAAACTGCAACACATTCATCTAATTTTATATAATTATACATGAAAACACCCATTCCTAACTACAGATTACATCAAAATAAACAAATATGTGTTGTAATGTCAAAAGTTCGAGCTTTCCATTCTCCTATTGCAGTGAGAACACGGGTATAAGGGGAGGAGTTTGCATTACGAAATTTCATTCTTGGCCTGCTTATTCTCCTCATGGACTTCTATGATTACATGAATGAATTGTGGAAACTACATCCGAAGAGCTTGGAATTTATATTTATATACAATGCCTATGTTCTGGCCCCCTCAGCAATCTGCCTTATAATCTGAAGTTTCTCCTAGGATGACAGTGCTTAAGTCAAGTTCTTTGTTATCAAATGCGGTAGCTCCTTATTCTGATTCTGTTTTCCTTTTAAATAGGTGGAGGTGCATTAGTACTGGGACAGGAGCAAGATCAAAGAGGAGAAGGCTTTAATCCAGCTGAGTCTTTTGTTGGCTCAATTAGCCAGCTGAACATTTGGGGTTATGCTCTGCCTCCTGAACAGGTAATATATTGAATCTGATTTGGTTTTACTGAAAGTTCCATTTTATTAAAGCTGTCTGCTATGGGAGTAAGAGTATTGCAGCATAGATGCCCAATATAGCCAATTTTTAGCTATATGGATTAATTAAAACTAAAACTAAATACAGAATAATCAGCGAACCCATTTATAAAGATGCTTCAAAGGGATGTGTTCATGGTGAACATTCCAAACAGAAAAGAACAAGGATGGGCCTTTTTGTTTTTATTTATTTTCCTTTTCATGAAGCATTCAATTGTACATTCACTTGTGGCTGAAAATTATCTGCCAATTTCTGTAGCTTCCAGATCAGCTGTGGCCCCTTTGATATGACAAAAAGCAATTTGCCATTGAAGTACTTCTTAGCAATAAAAGGGCTTTTCACTAAATGGCTTTGGAGCAAGTAATCATAGGCCTATTATTAAGGGGGAAATGGAAATGGAGAAGAAGGGGTTAACTAAATCACCTTGAGCTTCTGGAAGAAAGGCAAACAAATGAGTTGAACTCAGTCAAGATATGTGAGTGTAGCACAACATACTTTGCAAAGCATTAGAGCAGTTCATGATAATATAGTTTTCTATCTTTCATCTTTTTCTAAAATAATACATGCAAAAACTTAAAGTAAAACCCTAATCATGCCATTTTAAAATAATAAATTATTAAAATGAAATTAATTTTATATGCAAAGGTGTGTATGTATGTCTGTGTGTACATTTTTTGTCCGTATTTTGCATTTGTTTCCAACTAATTGGTGACAACACAGACAAATACATGTGTATTTTATTCTTTCTTGAACTCTAAGGTGAAGTCCTTGGCTACATCTTGTCCAGAGAATCTCCAGAAAGGCAACGTATTAGCTTGGCCGGATTTTCTTCCTGGGGTTGTTGGAAGAGTGAAGATAGATCCCAGGAGCATATTCTGTGCTGGTTAGACCTTTTGTTTGCTTTCAAAGCTTTAATAGAAGAATCATACAGTTGCATTCAAACCATGTTCAGAAAAACTGTGGCACTGAATGAATGGTTTCAGAAAGATCTCAGAGAGAAATTCAATAATAAAAGTTATTTCTCTTACAACAGACAGGTATAATGAAAGAGAAAATCAACAGGGTTGATATTTCTGACTTTCTCTTGTAACAAGGAGTGTATATGTATACTGGTAGTCCTCAACTTACGGCCACCATTGAGCCCAAATTTGATGATAAGTGAGAAATGAGTTAAGTGAGTTTTGCCCGATTTCACAACTTTTCTTGCCACAGTTGTTAAGTGAATCACTGCAGTTGTTAAGTTAGTAACCTGGCTGTTAATTGAGTCTGGCTTCCCCATTCACTTTGCTTGTCAGAAGGTGGCAAAAGGGGATGATCTGAACCTGGGACATAAGTATGAACCAGTTGCCAAGCATCTGAATTTTGATCACATGATCAGGGGAATGCTACAAAGGTCGTAACTGTAAAAAACAATCATGTCACTTTTTTCAGTGGTGTAACTTTGAACGTTCACTAAATGAACTGTTGTAATTCGAGGACTGCCTGTATTCTAGGACAGCAGTCCCCAACATTTCCAGCTTTGCGGACCAATAGAGGGGGAAAGGGAAAGGGGATCGGTACGAGTGTGCATGTCCACCACTTGTGCAAGTTGAATTTCAGACACGAACGTGCTTGCCCGCTTTTTGTGTAGCACAGTTCCGAACGGGCTACGGCCCAGAACTGGGTGGCAGCCCGGGGTTGAGGACCCCTGTAATAGCATACATTCTTAATTCATTACACCAAACTGAATGGCCAATATTTCATATGGAAACAAGAAACCAGTCATGTTACAGTAGAAAAATGGAAGAGAGAGCTATTAAGGGCAAGAAGATTTATTAATATTTTAGAAACATAATTTAATATATTTAAGGGAACAGCTTAAAAACATAAGTATTACATAACATTTTAATATAATTCAGTCCTCTATAAAGTTTGTACTAAATATTTACCTTAGTTGAATATTTTTTTAAGTTAAATGTTTGTGAAACAAACTATTTAAATTCAACTAAATTAATTAAAATAACATAAATTATGAATATAATTTTATGTAAGTGTGGTTCAAGAACAAATTCTAGCATAGTAGGTTTTTATTATTCCAATTATTCCTATTAACTATAAAATGCATCCTGAAATTCCGTCTGTCATTCCATATTCTTATGTTACACAGAGGTTCTCGGAGCAGGAGCATCCAAGAAAATAATCCCTGATAGCACATAGAAAAATGTTTTAAATTTACTGGTATTAGTTCTGAGGCATGAGGCTAAAAATACAATATCCCCATGGCCTTGCATGGATACACTTGATCATTCAATGACTGGAACATTTAGTCTTAATTCCTCAAATTCCAGTGTTGTGTAATAAGCGTTCATTGGAACCTCAAGCAAAATATTTATGGTTTCCTGCACTAAGGATGTTGAAAGCATGAAATGTAGGACTGGGTCATAGAGAAATATTTCTTGGCCTTCATGAAACAATAATTCATTTTTTTCTTGATTTGTTATTTGGTTTTTGTTGTTATTGGGGTTTTTTGTCATTTTTAAATATAATCATTGTTTTAAGTATTGAAATGTAGAACACTTCTTATTTTAAGAGAGCTTAGAAATGCTTACAGATTTAAGCAAGTAGCTTATTTAGTACAATATGAAGGACCAGAATGATGAGTACAGAATTGCAGGATTTAAAGTTTATTTCTTTTTGGTAAATATTCACAACTCAGTCATGCTTCCCTTATTCTCCCTTACCACATGGATAAAATATAATTCTCAGAATCTTCTTTCTCTTAAAAAATGGAATATTGATTTGGCAGTACAATGTAGTGGCATTTCATTTTAATGTACTAATCGAAGGGGGAGTTGTGAATATTTGATCAGTAAAAATGTAGATAATTGTGTCAAATTTGCTTAGTCAATACACGTTACCTTGTTTATAACCTCACACATATTATCATCACAGAACTTGAATCGGTTGCCTGCAAAATCCACTGTAAATAGTGTGTTTGCTCTGTGAGGATACTATATATAAATTGTGCATACATGTTAATTTGTCCACAGATTGCCAACCTTTAGAAGGATCCATTCCCCACCTGAAAACTTCATCAGCTACTTTAAAGCCAGGATCAAAAATCTTTCTCTACTGTGATACCGGTTTCCACATAGTGGGAAATTCTGTCTTACATTGTCTAAATTTAGGACAGTGGGCACAACCTCTTCCACATTGTGAAAGTAAGCAGCTATTTTTGTAACAGTTTTATCTTCAGGATATACCGCACTATTGTTCAGATGTTCCTGGACATAAGTTTTTTTAAAAGAAGTATTGAATGGAAGTCACTTAGGGACACCTAACGTATTTTTTTGAATTATTTTCATATAATCTAAATTTATTGTTAGTTTACGGAATAAATTTGCTTGTGTGTGTATGCATATACATATATATGGGTATGTGTGTTAGATGGTGCATGAGATGAGATGTTATTGTATTGTTAAGGGCTTATTGGATTTATTCTTCATGACCATTGTAGCTTTTTAAATGTTTTGTTGAGATTGGTTCCATTTTCTTTTTAATGTGTTTTTAGCAGCAAATTTTGGAAGCGCTTGCTGCTTGACTACAGTCAGTACAGGAAAGACACACTTTCTTCTTTAGGTTTCAGCCATAAACATTGAAGTTTGTATTATTAATGTAATTACAAATAGAATTATTTGCTGCCAGGAACTAGGACTTAAGCTCATGAAGCCATTTGAAGAAGTGTTTAAATAAATATGTGTCATTCCCTAATAGGTTTACATGTGCATTTATATACTGTCTGGGTATAGGAATTAGTTGTGGAGAACCTCCACCTTTAGAACATGGATTTTATTCGGCTGAGGATTTCTTTGCTGGAAGCTCTGTAACCTACCAGTGCAACAGTGGTTATTACTTGTTGGGAGACTCAAGGATGCTGTGTACAGACAATGGAAGCTGGAACATTATTTCACCATCTTGCCTTGGTAAGTCTACATAGACCTTATGGTTAATATCAAAAGCTAAATCTATGCTTTCCTGTTCAATTCTAAGGATTTTGTGGCTATGAGTGACCACAGACGAGCAAGTATCATTTCTTGTATCACTACCCTGTTTTCCCCAAAATAAGACCTCCCTGGATAATAAGCCCAGTCGGGCTTTTGAGCACATGTGCTAAAATAAGCCCTCCCCAAAAAATAAACCCTCCCCAAATATATTGCAACACAGCAGCAGCTATGAGGTGACCATGCTCGCTGCCTCCTGCACCTCAAAAATAATAAGATCTGGAAGTCGACCGGAGGTTCTTCAGCTGAACAGATGTGGGGGGGGGGGGTGAGCTCTCAAGAGCTTCATATGAACCATGTCTGACAAACCTGTTCCAAGATCCTTTTTGGATCAGAACCTTCCTGGAGGGAGGGCGAAGAAGGGACAGCGTCTCATCAGACCTAGAGGGAGGCAACAGGTCCCTCGCAGGTCGGAGATTTGTCCTCTGAATTGGAGCAGGGGTGGCAGCTTGGCTGCACAGAAGCTGGCTTCCTGCCAAAGCACTGAGCAGGAGCACACAGGAGATGAGATGAAAGACCGGTAAGAAGATTCATTTAACCAACAGTCATAAATCAAAACTTGGAAAAGGCAAAGAATCTTGAGAGTATAAGTAATATACAGTAAACAGACAGATCTGAATTTTGGTAAAAGGAAAGAAAGAAAAGGAAAATGGAGGGTTGAAATGCCACCCCCACCCCAAATGCTATTTCCTTGAAATAATTTGGACAGAAATTGCGATAGCAAAGAAGTGACAAACCCACTTAAATATAAACCCTAAATTTGGTTTTGGAAATAGAAATCAAACTTCCCAAGGGTTTTCGTCTGAACTTCTTCCAACTCTAATTAGGGAGAAAAATCAAGAAAAAAGCACTACCTTCTCACTGATAACCTCATCTTGACTGTGCAAGAAGTTTTAATTAACCAACTGCCATAAATCAGAATTGGGAAAAGTTGCAGCTTTTCTTCCAGTTTTACATAAACTGAAGTAGCTAAATTTAAGATGGACCAAAACCTCGAAATAAGATCTGCATAACTAACTGCAATTTTGGAACTGGACATTTAAGGAAGAACAAAAGACCAAGATGGCTCCCACCTCTCTTCCACATAGCAGTTGAAGTAGATAAATTTAAGGTGGACCAGAACTCTGAAAGAAGAGTTGTAAAACTAACTAACTTTGGAACTGGACATCATGGAAAACGGGGGATTTGAAGAACTATGTGAAATCATAAAAAATATTCATAAACCAATAAAATCAATAAAATTAAGCCTAAATAGAATTCTGAACCCAGAGAAGCAGGGATTTAAAGAAGAGGGGAAAGAAGAATGGGGGAAAAATAATGAAGATAATGAAGGGGTAGAAACAGTGGGAAATAAAAAGCAGACAAAACACTCCATAGGGCTTGATAGTGGTATAAGGGAAATGGTAAAGGCGAGATGTGTCCCAACAAAAGGGAATAAAAAGCAGACAAAAGATATTTCGGAGGTTTACAGTGGCATAAGGAAAATTGAATTAGGAGATTATGCCCCAACAAAGAGAAATATAAAAGACGGTGGAGTGGGGAAAATTGAAGAGGATGGCTGTGTCAAAATGAAGAAAAGGGAGAAGGCAGGAACAGAGAAGACTTACTAGGAAAAAAATCAGACAACTAGAAATTGTTATATGGGAAAATATAAAGTTAAGATAAGGGAGTTATTCCTAAATATGACAATAAAATGGAGTTGCTAACTGATTGAATATGGTAATGGAAAGATAATTAAATAAAGGTCAAAAGACATGGAATAATGGATAAATATGAAACTGATATGGGGAGATTGTAAAGCAGAGGTTTGTGATTCACTTTTTTACATAATAATTAAAGTGAGTTGCTAATTGATTGAATATGACAACAGAAGGACAATTAAGCATGTGTTAAAATATATGAATCATGGATATATATATATATAGAACCTTTAAGA